GCAGGACAAAAATGAGACACATATAAGCATCTGTTTAAATGAGGAGAGGAAGTGATAAAGCAGCTCCATTCTGATGCTTAATAGGCATGTTAGACTCAATATGGCCCAAACGGCCCTCCTGCTATCACCCGGTCTTTCGCATCTTAGAGAAGCCGACTCACTGCCAAGGCCCCACACCTTGCAGTCATCCAATTCACAGGCAAATGCTATTGGCTCTACCTTCCAAATGTATCCAGAATCCGACCACTTTCACCAGCTCTGCTGCCACCACTTTAGTCCCAGCCACCACCATCTCTCACCTGGATTACTATTATTGGTCCCTAACTGGTTTCCCAGCTTCCACCCTTGTTCCCCGAAAGTCTATTCTCAACATACCAGCCAGAGGGATCCATTTGAAACAAGCCACTCCTCTGCTCATAATTTACATGATGTCTCTCCCTTGCTCAAAATTCCCCAGTGGCTTCTCATCTCGCTCAGAGCTAATGCCAAAGTCCTTCAAATGACCTTTTGGGCCCCACATAATCTGACTCCTGTCTGAACCTGTCCCCTTCTATCCTTCCCCTTTCTCATTCTGCTCTAGCCACACTGATCTCCTCGCTATTTCTCAAACATGTCAGTCACATTGCTACCTCGGGGCCTTTGTACTTGCTGTTTCTTTAGCTGGAGTATACTTCTCCTAAAGATCCTCACTTCCTTCAAGTCTTCCCTAGACATTTCATAGAAAACTACAAATTTTTGCTCTCTGACTCCTCCTTCTACTTTCTTATTTTTTCCCTTAGCATTTACCACTCACAGGATCAAAGGAGATGCATATTTTTAAAAATTTCAAATGTAATTGTTATTCTCTGGAAAACTATCTAAATGAAGCAACTCTTATTATCCTTAAAGTTATTTTATCTTGACATCCAGTTTCTGTATAATATGCTTTCAACAATCTTTTGTTATGGTTCTATAGGTAGAGTCCTAATTAAATATATTTGATATTTACGAGAATCTAAGGTAGCAGTGAAGGAACTGTTCTGATATTCCTCTATCGCCAGTGCTTCGAGCAGTTTCTGACACATTGTAGGTAGGCACTTAAAAATAGTTTTGAATGAATGAGAAGCTAGGCCCTGTGAAGCAGAGATGGTACAACACAATGGTTAAGAGTGTGGCCCTCGAGTCAGGCTTCCTGGGTTTGAACCTTGGCTCCCCTACTTACTAGCTGTGAGATCTAAGGCAAGGTACCTATCTTCCTGTGCCTTAGTTTCCTCAACGGTGAAATTGAGATAGTGACAGGAGCTACATCAGGGAGTTATGAGCATTCGGTATGTCGAGACATGTGCTAGCACTTAGAACAATGGCCGGCATAGATTTAGCACTTGATAAATGTTAGCCATTGTTATGAAGGGCCTTGTCTGCTTACAGTAAGGAGTTCAGACTTTATCCTACGGCTCCTTGGAATCACTGAACAATTTTAAACAAGGGAGTACACAATCAGATATTGTTTTTGGAAGGGTCGCTCCAGCTGCAGAGTGGAGAAATAATTAGAACAGGGCAAGACTGGTACAAGGAGATCAGTGAGAAGGCTGTTGTAGAAATAGAGATGACAGATATTGTTAGCCCGACCTAACGCAGAGGGCTGGGGGAAAGGAGGAGCTCAAGAATTATAGAGGTAGCATAGACAAAACTTGGAGATTAACTCAACATAGAGAGAGTAGTCAATAACAAAATTCAGGCTTGTGATCCCTGCAACTAGATAACTAGATGGTGGTGCCCATCTATCCCACACACAGAGGAAACAAAATTCAGGCTTGTGATCCCTGCAACTAGATAGGTACTTACCTATCTGCTGAGGAGAAAATACATTCGGTTTTGTTTAAGATGAAGTGAGTATGAGAGAGCTAGGTGAAGGGGCAATTGTATACATGCATCTGGTATTTAAAAGAAAGATCTAGGCTAGATAGAAAAGATATTTGGGAGTCATCATCATACTGGTGATTGTTGAAGCCAATGGAGATGAGATTTAAGGGAAACGTTTAAGAAGCAAGCCGTTTAAAAAAGGTACACCTTTGAGGGATGGGGCAGCAGGAGACAAACCACGGGAGAGTGCTATCTTGCAAGTCAGGACAGAGTGAGTCTCAGGAAGTAGTGGGACACGTCACGTGCTATAGTCAAGATAAGGAGGCGCAAGTCACGTCCACTGGATTGAGCATCCGGTGATTCTAGTCAGAACGGAGGTGTGATGGGGGTAGAAACCAGATCACGGCGGGTCGATTCATTAATGCGAGGTGAGAAAATGAGAGGTTTGTGTGGATAACTCTTTCAAAAACTTGGCTGTGAAGGAAAAAAGAGATGAGGTGGTCATGAAGGACGTAGAATCCAGGCAGTTTTCTTTTAAGGTGGAAGGAACTATGTGCAAATGAAAAAGAAGCTGAGTGTCAAGAAGCAGGGAGATAACCAATTGGGGAGGCTGGGGTACAGGAGCCTGGGCTCAGGGTTAGGGTCCCATGTGCAGTGCAGGAAAGACCTCATGCACTGTGGCTGGAGGGGGCAGTGGGCTTGGGCAAGTATGCAGGTAAGCTGAGAGTGCTGACTGATGCCTGTGAAGGAGGAAGGGGTGGGGTGGAGGAGGAAGGGGTGGGGTGGCAGATTAGAAAACATGGCGCCCGACCACGGTAACAGCTACAGGGAATAGAAGGGTGCTGGTTAGGGGCTCTAAGGCCTGAAGAGCAGTGTACAGCTGAGAGATGTATAGCGAACACAGCAAAAACCAACCAATTCTCTTATGGAAATGCAGACTGTAGGCTCAGAGATACCAAGCTCCACACTGTACCTGGTATAAAACCCAAACCACAAAAACTATTCAGTGAGAATACAGTGTTCCCAGAGAAATGTTCCTTAAGAATCATTCCCACTGCTCCTTTGGTTAATAACCTCCAAGGCTCCCCACCGAAGGCATACAAAATAAAATCACTCTTTTAAAGAAGAATTCAATACCCTAACCTGACCCCCTGTGATCCCCTAAGACTTTCTGCCTGAAACTCCCTATACCAGCCCTGGTCCGGGCACTCCCAGGATGCCTTTGCTCACTAGCTTGCTATCCAAGGCTCCCCACCGAAGGCATACAAAATAAAATCACTCTTTTAAAGAAGAATTCAATACCCTAACCTGACTCTTTCCATGAAGCCTTCTTTCTTCCTATCTTCTTGCTTCTGGAGGACTCTGAAGCTGGATATAGAATTTCCAGGAGCTGTGTTAAATTTGATTTGTCCATGCCTAAGCCTTTCCCCCCACTAGGTAATAAGCCCCGGATGTAAGCCTATTTGTGTTTGAATTGGCGTCCCACTATGGAACACACCTTGGTGGTGTTTATGACCTTGAGCTGGCAGCGTGGCAGGCCAAGGTGTGCTGTTTACAGCCACGGAATGAGCAAGAAGATTTCTTGACAAGTAATCAAGTAATAACGATTTGTGTATTACAGCTGAATATACCCTGTAAGTGTTGTCTTTCTGGCTCAAAAAACACAATATTGGTTGAGCAGGCATTGAGCTTATCAGTGGGGTTTGGTCCTTGGAGTTACAATATTAGACCAGTATGTACGACATTTTGACCCCCCATCATGTGACTTATTTATTGGCTCTTCTTCTTTTCTATGTTTTCATTGTTTGGCATTTTAGAGACATTTTCCTTTCTGATATACTTCACCATTAACTCCTATTTCTTCAGTTTCCATAAAACAGTATAGCAGATGTAGAAGCATCACACACACAAGGTCTCTTGTTTGCTTCTAAGAGAATAATTACTGAAAGAATATTAACTTCTGGCATTTGAAGGAAAAACATAAATTGAGACTTTACTATATACCTGTTCCTTTGAAGATACTATCTGTTTGATCCTCACAAAAGCTCTGGCAGGTGGAGATTACTGTTCTCATTTTCCAGCTGAGAAAAGCAGACACGGGCGGAGGGGTCTATAACGGTGAAGATCCTGGGTCTATAACGGTGGAACGAACACTCACAGCCCAGTCTGTCTGACTCCAAAGTTCAGATCTCTAAGGCCCCCAGTGTCACAGCACATCACTAGATAGTTCTAAAGGCTGAAGAGGACAGGCCCTCCACCCACTCTGAGGACGGTAATGGCACATACTATTGCTGGCTTAGGACTTCGAACATCTGAATTCCAAGTGGGCTGTGAGTCCAATGGAAGGATGGAAAGAAATTGGCGGCTGGTCAAAGTTTCCATTTGCTACATTGAAATATCAAAAAAAAAAAAAAAGGACAGTTTAATTTGAGTGACTTAGTGCTATCAAATTGTCAACGGTAGTGTGGACCCTCTAGCCAACTCCAGCCCTTTATTACTCAGCCCCCAGCTGTGTGTGCCCCACCACCCTTTGGCTTAGACCGAGAAAGATGGCTGACTGCAGGCACAAGGAGGAAGGTGATAGGGAGGCCATGACGATTTCTGATTGCCTGCTCACTAGTCTCTTCAAAATTTGAGACCTCTCCTCTCTCTAATAAAAACTAAAAGGGTGAGGTAGCTGAGCACCAAGTTTGAGGCAGTGATCTTTTTAAAACATAAAGCTGTGCGACTGCTTTGCTTAACCATTTTCAGAAGCTTCCCAGGGCCTCCTGCCTAACTCGCCATGTCGCCCTCTGGCTGACCTGGCTCCAACCACACGGACATGCTTGCAATTCCCAGAGGCATTGTGTTCTCTAGCCTTTGCACAGGCCGCCCCCTCTGCCTGGGATAGGCTGCTTCTGTTTTCTGTCTGGTGAACCATGCATGCTGTAAAATATGCTAAGATTCCTCAGGGGTCACCTTCTTTGTGGTGTCTTTTCGTATTCTGCCATCCCAGGAAGGACTGGACATGTCATCCTCAGGGGTGGTGAATAGTGCCCCTCCCCTCCAAAAAAGCAATGGAATTTCCTTTTGCATCTTTTTTGAGTTTCAAACTCTACGATCTTAGGTTCCAGGTATTTCCACTATACCTAACATAGTGTTCTCTGCCCCCAAATTAATTTATTTGCAGTGTCGCCTAGATGTCTTTTTCTTTTGAGCCAAAGCACGGGAAATGGAGACATGATCCTATATCTGGCAACACAGGGCTTTCAAGTACTTTATCTCACTTGGCCTTCACAACAGCCAGGTGGGTCAGTGGTGCAAACCTTACTGTTCTTATTTCCAGCTGAGCAACCAGAAAGAAAGGAGGCTAAATGGCTTGCTCAACATTGTTCAACTAGTTTGAGGCAGGGCTGGGATTAGAATGGAGGTCTTCTGGCTCTTGGTCCAGGGTTCACCTAACTGAATTCTGGAAGTAAAGGTGGCCTTGTGGGTCAGTGTCCTGTAACGTCCTCTCCATACTCATCTACCTGCTTACAACAGGGCCATGGGGGGCCAGTCACCTTAAAGGGTCACCACATTCCATCAGGGAATGAAGGCATAAGGAACTAGAAACCTTGTGCTTTAGTCCTGGTTTTGTCGCCTGCCTTGTTTGGAGAGGACTTAGCCAAAGCACTCACTGTCTTTGAGCCTGTTTTCTCATGTGTAATGTGGGAGTAACTATTTCTATCATGCCCACCTCACAGCACTGCTGCGAGATCAAATGAAGCAATCACTATCCTGATTGATAAGTAGACATCCACTGACTGATAAGTCCAAAGCACTCACTGTCTTTGAGCCTGTTTTCTCATCTGTAATGTGGGATTAACTATTTCTATCATGCCCATCTCGCAGCAGTGCTCAAATGAAGCAATCCCTACCCTGATTGATAAGTAGACATCCATTGACTGATAAGCAGACATCTGATTTTTGGTAAGCTTTGACTTCTCCAGCCCAGTGTGTGACAGACCATAGAAGAGTGGAATATGTCCTTATCTGTTGTTTTAGGTCCTCTGTTTCCTTTTTCTTTAGCTCTTGTTGGGCTCCGGCTCCTAGCTTTCTGAGCTTAACCTGCAGAAGCAGCACTGAGGTCCCCGCCCCTGGACCATGGCTCCCCTGGAAGGCAGTGTGCACCACGCTTCCTAGAGAAGAGCTTGATGCAAGGCAGAGGCAGTCGGGGAGGGGGCATCGTGCTCACATTTCTTGCCCTGGGTGCATTTTGTCTTAACTCCTTTCCTAGATGCTTACGAAATTCTAATTTCTTGGTTAAAGTCTCCTCATTGTGCATTGTCTTTAGTTTTCTATAAGGTTTCCTTCCAGGAAAATGATACAAAGCCCATCTCACGAAGCCTGAGAGAGAGTGGCAGAGCTCAAGAAGGAGAGCCATCGACCTGAGCCATGTGAGGTGAATGCTAAACTACTGTCTGTCTCTGAACGATGGTGTCAAACCCTGGCACGACCCAGAAAGCTACGTAACGTTGGGCTAAGATCTGAAAGAGTAACAGTGGGGAGTGCCTGGGGTGATGATGTGTCCCATACTTTGGTGATCATATTAGGATATTTCATATCTGCTGTATCTGCTCCAAAAAAGAAATTTTGTGTCCCATTCATGTTTGAGATTTAATCTCTGTATTTGAGTTTGGAACCAAATATCGAAATTATTGTTTTACAATGCCAAGAACAACAACAACAAAACATTTAAATTGGTAGTGCCCTGGAAAATCATGGTGGACATACACTTGGACTTCTCTAAAAAGGATTTAAATATAATAAAATAGACACAACATTAAAAACGTCTATTGAATCCAATTTAATCTTTTTTTGATTCCTGAGTGGGTAATTCAGGATCTTACAGAAGTCCAGGGTCACCATTATAAACATCAGCTGTCATTGTACTGGTGAAATAGATAATGTGCCAGTTAATAATAGCTTTAAAATTCACAGAAAATCAGATAATAGGGGTTTTACTGTAACTGGGATCATGATGGTTAAGAGAATCAATGCATTTTCCAAAAGAGCCTAAATCATTTCTAGGAAATAATTCATGCTCCGTGAGAATAGGGCAGAATTTACAAGGAAGTGCTTTATACTCCTTGGAAGAATAATGCTATGTGGTTGTAAGCTGTTCTTCATCATTTTTATTTTGCAGGTGTATTTCTTTGCATCATTGTTGTTCTTAATCCTGTGCCTGAGGCCCTATGCCTCAACTATACAGGCTCTTCTTAAATGGAGTGGAAGATATCTCCAGCCTTTCCTAAATCCGAGGAATGACAAGCAACTCTGGAGGGGCATGTCACAAGAAGAAATCTTTTCAAGGCCATGTTCAGAAGGACCCTTTGCTTAAAGGAATTGGAGCTGGGAGTATGGTTCTTAGATAAGAAAGGCGAGAGAAGAGGGAGGGAGAGAGAAAGAAAGGAAGAGAAAAAGAGGAAGAAAGGAAAAAGGAAAGAAGGATGGAGGGAAGGATGGAAGAAAGAGGCAATAAAGGAGAGAGGGAGGGAGGGGAATAGAGAGAGGGAGAGAGTCAGGGTCATAGCACACACCATTTAGCCACCAAGGACAGAGTTTCTGCACTGTTTCATTAGAACATGAAACCTATTCTGTTGCCTATGAGTCCACTGTGAGCCCAAAAGAAGTTAGTTCACTTCCTTAGCATCTGGGGTCCCATAATTCTGAGTCATGGCCACATTAACTCTGCTACTGAAAAAGCAAGAGCTTGGCAGCACAACCAGACCCACGGCTGACAGTGCCTGGCACTATCAGGCAGGAAAGCAGGTTTCTGTCAAATGCAGGGCAGCAGGATGGTGTGCCTTCAGGGGTGAACTGTGAGGGGAGGAGACGTTCTCTTCAATACCTATTACTTTCTCTTTAGAATTTAATTCTTCCCAATTGGGGAGGATGTATTAATGACTTCCTGTATCTCTTCTGAAACAATAGACTCCGCACCCTGAGAGAGGGCAGGTTACCCATGGCCTAGCTGAGGGGCTGCTCAGCAAAAGGAAGCAGGTCACACTGGCGAACGCAGAGCCCCGTACCCACAGGCTCCCAGTCAGGCTTCCTGGGGCCTCCTGATGTCGGGGAGCCCTGCCGCTTGCTCGCTGGCTCGGGTGGCAGGAAATCACTACGCTATGAGGATAAAGACCCACTGGGGTCCCTGTGCAGCTTTAGGGCAGATTTCTATTTCCCCGTGTGGTGGGGAAGCAGATTCCAAGCTGCATTCAAACACAATACAGTCCCCAGCGATGAAGAAATGAAACCCTTTAAATCTTCCGTCCCTCACGTTGTACTCTCCCCTGCTGCTTTCAGGCTCACAGAAGCCTTTTGTTAGAGTCGAGAATGTGTACTTAATAGAGAAAGCGTGGTTTTGTGGTTGCTGTGAAAG